CCCTGCGGACGACATGAGAGACCCGAACCCGCGAACAGGGAAGAAGGGAAACCGGATCAACCCACAGCGCGTCCCCGGACACAGAAGCTGTGGCGCGCAAATAACGGCGAAGCGCCGCAACCGGACACAAAACATGATGCACCCCCGGCCTGACCAACCAAGCATCGACCACCCATGGACCCCTCCGGAACGCAGCAGTCTCATTCTTCGCCAGAAAAGAAGGAGACGGCTGCAAACGAACAAAACTATCACCACGACCAAAAGAGCAGAAACCCCTGCGCCGGAGGAGAGCATGAAGCTCCCCCACCCGACCCCCAGAGGCCAAAGCCAACAAGAAAAGTGCCTTGGAAAAACAATCCTGGACCGAAGGGGCCACAACGAAACGAGGAGATGAAAGGAAAGCGAGCACTCTGTCCAAAGACCAGGACGGCTCAGGCGACGCATGAGCAGGCCGGAGGTGAAACAATGCACGAGACAGCTTGCGAAACGGCGCAGACGTAACATCGATACCGAAAGCAAGCTGAAGCGGCTCCGCCAGCGCCGCACGATACGAAGCAACAGTGTTAGGCATAAGATGACGGTCCTGAAACAACCACGAGAGGAAGGACAAGACCACCCGAACAGACAAGGAGCTAACACGACGAAGACGCAAAAAGAAACGGAAGGACCGCCAGGAAACTTCATACTGCCGCCGAGAAGAAGCCCTCAGGTGGGACACCAACAAGGAGGCCACCTGATCACCATAGAGATGATGATAGACTCGAGTCAAAAAAACCATACGCGAAGACTCGAGGAGAAGATCGAACCAGCTACGTGACGTACCGGCCCGATCTGCTGAAAGAGGCGGAGCCGCGGGAAAACCCTCGGGTTCGGACACCGAGCAACCAGCGCCTGAAACCAAGGCTGGGCCGGCCACCAAGGGGCCAGAAGGACAACTCTCCCCTGGTAAGTCTCTAAGCGAGTCAGGACCTGGAGCAACAGCCGAACTGGGGGAAAGAGGTACAGGAACCCCCACCTCGACCAGTCGAGCCGAAAGGCATCGACCCCGACGGCCTCGCAATCGGGGAAGGGCGCCGCATAAACGGGAAGACGCCGCGACCACGCCGACGCGAAGAGGTCCACCTCGGGGCGCCCGAACGTCTGGCAAAGCCAACGGAAGGACTCGTCGTCGACCGTCCACTCCGTGGAGAGGGGAACGAAGCGAGACAGGGCGTCGGCCAAGACGTTGGACACGCCCCGTACGTGAACCGCCAGGAGAGCCAAACCCCGAGAACTCAGCAGACGAGTCACCCGAAGCGACCAACCCCAAAGAGACAAGGACCGCATCGAACCCCCGCGGTTCAGGCAATGAACCACCGGAGAGCAGTCCGAATGGAGCCGAATCGTCGATCCGCGGGCCACCCGAATCCTCCCCAGAGCAAACCACACTGCCGCGAACTCCCGGACCGTACTGTGAGCTCGACGGAAGGACGGATCCCAACGCCCCTGGCCGGCCTGGTGAGCACTGGGCACAAAACCCCAGCCGAGAGACGACGCATCCGTGTACACATCGAGCGAGGGCTCGGGTAGGCGCCAAGGCACTGAACCCCGAAAAACCCGAAGAGGAAGCCGGTGACGCAGCAACCGACGCAAGTCCTCCGGGGGTCGAACTCTGCGATCGCGAGAGAGGCGGAAGGGGGAACCCCGAAGGAACCAGAACAGCCGTCGAAGCCAAACCCGACCCGGCGGGTAGACCACCAACGCAAAGTTCAGGCTCCCGCACAGCCCCTCGAGCAACCGCCGGGTGACCCGAGGGCCCTCCAGAAACAGACGAAGGCGGGACCGCAGCCGCAGGAGAGACTCCGGAGGGAGAGACAAGGAGGCAGTCCGAGAGTCCCACACGAGACCCAGCCAAGTCCGAACCTGAGAGGGAACCAGATGGGACTTCCTCCAGTTCACCAAGAACCCGAACCCGGCGAGCTGGGAAAGAACCAAATCCCTGGCTAGCAAGCAAGCTGACTGGCTGGGAGCCCAAACCAGCCAGTCGTCGAGGTAGGCCAACACCCGAACACCTAGGAGACGCAAACGAGCCACCACAACCCGTGTAAGGCGTGTGAACACGCGAGGTGCCAGGTTCAACCCGAACGGGAGACAACGAAAGCGGTAACTCAGACACCCCACTACAAAACCGAGCCAGTCCCTGAACCGCGGATGAATCGGGACATGCCAATAAGCGTCCCGGAGGTCCAGGGACACCATCCAAGCACCCGGCTCCAAGAGGAGCCGAACCTGAGACAGCGTAGTCATCCGAAAGGAGGGGCAATGAACCCAGGGGTTCAGACGGGACAAGTCCAGAATGAACCGCAGGTCCGCGCAGTCCCGTTTCGGAACCGGAAACAGACGGGAAACCCATCTGAGGGACGACGTCGTTTCGACGACGCCCAAGCGTACCCACTCCAAGACGACTCGACAGAGCGCAGGGGAAGAAGCCTGCCCCGCCAGCCCCGACCCCCAAAGGGGGGAGGGGCCACCCAACGCCACCGCAGGCCGCGAGACACGACCCGAAAGGCCCACGAATCGTGGGACCAGGCGCGGGCGAACAGCGCAAGCCGCCCCCCCATCGCCCCGTCAAAGGGGCAAACCGCGAAAGGGCCGGCGACCCTTACGAGACCCAGAACCCCGCACAGCGCGAACACCGCGCCGACCAGACGAGGGAGGGTCCGCAGGAGGAGCCAACCCCAAACCTGACACCAGAGGCCTACCACGACGAGAGGAACCCCGAGCCCTGGCACGACCTTTCCGGGAAGACCCACCCCGGGACCCCCGGAAAACCAACAAGTCCGACATCGGACGACAAGCCGCCGACGCAGCCTGAATAAACTGCGCCACGGCCGACTCCCCAAACAGGAGAGGACAAAAAGGTGAAGAACGCCTAAGAGCCAGAGCCCAAGCAGATTCCACGGAGGAACCCAGCACCGCCTGCCGACACGCGAGACGGGAAGCATAGAACAGGGAAACCGCATCCCGCAAAATCGGCGTGAACAGCTTCAACAAGGCAGCCGACGAACGCGCAGCCGAGGACAAGGTGCCGGACCCCGGGACGGACCCAAGCGTCCCCACATCCTCCACGAGCCAATCCGAAGACAGCTCCAGGAGGGAAAAGAACCGCAAGGCCGAACACAAAAGGCCCCGAGCGCGCAAGTCCTCCGCCACGAGCGCCGCCGAAAGGGAGGGAACCTGCACATGGAGCTGAATAACGCCCACATCGCGGGGAAGGGCAGGGGCAAACAAGCACTCATTCAGGTACTCAAGTTCACCCCCCAGGAAAACCTGAAGCACCGTGGAAGCTTCCCGCCACTCCAGCGTGCGGGAACGACAGAAGGAATGCCAGGAATCCAGACCAAACAAGGGGCAGTCTGCTAGCCAGGATGACTCCGGAACCTCGTAACGGAGCCAGAAAGGGAACGAAGTCCCAAACCTGAACGTGGACGGATCCATTTCCGAGGCATAATCCGGGTCACGCAGGAGGTAAGCTGCAAAGGCCGCTCGCACCACACCAGGTTGGATGCGATAAGCCGAAAACCTCCGGAAGGACGGAACCGACGTACCCAGGGGAACACGGAACCATACCCGGGGAGGGGCCTACACCAAATCCAACTCGTACGCAGAGGGGGGGAAAGAAAACCCCACTCCTTGTAACAATAAGCCCCGCTCAGTGGGAAGAAAAACCCCGGCGGGGTCCAGCGGGGCCCAAGGCCCCCAAGTCAGCCCCTCCCCAGCCTCGAGGTCCGTCACCACAGGACCCGAGGCCGAGTCCTCTCCCCAAGCCCCGACCCCACAAGACAAGGACGGAGCAGCCGGAAAAGCTGGAGGAAGAGGGGCCCACTGGTCAGACCCTGAAGCTTCGGCCGGGAGACAAGACTCGAATGCCTCTGAACTTCTAAAGCTGAACCCCAGGGACGTGTACACTCACGGGGACCTAGCAGGGGGCGCCACCGAGGAGAACAGTGGAAGGGCAAAAACAAACTGAATAAAATGACAGAACCCCCCACCAGGCAAAAACAAAAAGAAAAACAAAACCCCGCAAGAGGACAGCGAACCCCAAGGAACAGAGCCGGCCGCGATGTCGGGAAGTACAAGCTGAGCAGCACCCTGCGCCCCTACCAGTGCAAACTGCCTCTTACCTGCCGGTAACAAGGGAGAACAGAACACCCAAGAGCCCAACAGGAGGCCGAAAAACCGAAAGGTAAAACGGACCAGCAGAGGCAGACCCCGAGGAGCCTGTGGAAGGTGGCCCCAAGCCCCAAGGGCAGTACTTACAGGGCACCTAGGGAAGGCAGCCCTAGGCGCATGCAGCCCGAGTACTGAAGATAACTCCTGGCTCTCGCACCCACAAAACTAACACCACACTCAAAGCACAGTGCAGTAGCGACACCGGAGCCAGAGCACACGACCATAGCCTATAGCATCAGCCTCAAGAACTGAGGTGTGGGTAGCCGGCGCGGGGGGTCTGGGGCTCCCCCTTCCCCCTCCCGGGGAGGGGGGAGCTGCGCAGACAGCGGCGCGGCAGTGTGTGACGTCACGCTAATTTGCTTGTTTTCGGTTGGGGAGTTCTATCCACTAGTTCGGTATTAGGTAGCAATTTTAACCAGAATAGGGGTTTGTTTTGGGGCGCTTACCTTTCTGGGTGCCTGTTCCGGTCGATGGCAGACATAGAATGCTTCCAACTACACGGGGGCTTCTATAGGCCATTGCTCCCCTTGCCTCTCTGAGGGGGCCCGGTTCTGGCCGTGGTCCCCGGTAGGCCTAAGAACTCCATACACATGACTGATGCCAAAGTCTGACATTAGCATATCAGCCTGGGATAGCTCCGGGGAGCCGACGGGGCTCCCCCCAGAAAATTAGCTTTTGAGGGGGATTATAATGAAGTATTAGATAAATTTCTGCAAAAACAAGAATATGCTCTTGGTCTAAGTGCTTGGTAAACAGGTTTAAATATCCTCTGGTGAATTATAACTGTATTCAAGCATCACACACCGCTTACTTTATTTCTGTAGAACAATATACAAATTAAAAATTCTTAAAGCAAAGGGCCAACTAAACATAGTAATGATAAAGTGCATAAAAAATTAAAAGTTCATGAGAACCGTTATATACAGCAAGAACATTTTTAACTAGTGATACTCCTCAAATAAAACATATAACAATGAAAACAACAAAATAAACTGGTGGCCATAAATAAAACCTGCATATTGGGGGGGGGGGGGGAGGTGGGAGATGGCAAAAAAAAAAAAAAAACCAATCATCCAATATCTAATCATTACAAAGCATCACTTCGACAAATTTTCATAATAAGTTTCCAAGTCAGCTGTATAATACAGTTCATCTTCCTCATCATCCTCAAAGTCGAGGATATGTTTAGAGAGGTTGGTGTCACGATATTTTCCCAGAGACACTGAAGGAGGTAGGCCGATGTTCTCAGTTTTAAATGTCTTCAGCTGTTCTCTCGTGTCTTGCAGCAATCTTTCCTAAAAAATAATAAACTTGTATTATTATTCATAAGCCTATAACTAGACATTGTATTAATTCAATCGTTCAAGGTGTCCCGAGGTTGTAATATCTTGGAAAACAAACAGGGTGATGGAGTAATGATGTACAGTAATGGGAACAATCAGGGCACCCAACTAACAAACAGGGTGATGCAGTAATGATGTACAGTAATGGGAACAATCAGGGCACCCAACTAACAGGGTGATGCAGTAATGATGTACAGTAATGGGAACAATCAGGGCACCCAACTAACAAACAGGGTGATGCAGTAATGATGTACAGTAATGGGAACAATCAGGGCACCCAACTAACAAACAGGGTGATGCAGTAATGATGTACAGTAATGGGAACAATCAGGGCACCCAACTAACAAACAGGGTGATGCAGTAATGATGTACAGTAATGGGAACAATCAGGGCACCCAACTAACAAACAGGGTGATGCAGTAATGATGTACAGTAATGGGAACAATCAGGGCACCCAGCCAACAAACAGGATGATGCAGCAATGATGTACAGTTATGAGAACAATCAGGGCACCCAACTTCAAGTGACCTGATAATGAATTATATTACCAAGTATGTCTAACCAGCTTGCACACCCCACCCATCTGTTTGCACAACAAATGCTTTTAAACACACATTTTTAGGACTGTCGTTACTGGTATTGAAGAGCCCATATCTAACATTATTAGATACGAGCTACATCCATAAAATTAAATTTTAAACATCCTGTAAGATTTATCTACAGATTAATCCAGTATTAAACCACCTAATGTTGACCTCAATACATAATACCTCTTAACTTACATTTTCTTTTGCAATGTAATCATGCTCAAGTTTCAATGCTTCTTTCTGTGGAATGCATATTGAAGAACTGCTTTGACGACCAGACGCATGGTGTTCTATTCCTGGTACTGGCAGAGGATTCTTGCAGCGTCTAAAGGAAAAAGGCATGATAAATAATGTTTCAATGTCATTGCTGTAACCAATTAATGTATACTGCACTCAAAATATATACCATGTCAATTTAAACTAATAACAAATTTGCCACAAAACATCAACTGTGCTAGTGATATTTAAGAATGGGGTTAAATCAACTGTATTTAAGAATGAGGTTAAATCAACTGTATTTAAGAATGGGGTTAAATCAACTGCATCAAACTATCAGCCAATGTACAACCACTCATGCATAAAGCTGCAAAGAAAATCATGCTCCCAGACAGTTTTAGTGAAAATATTAGATACCAACATAGTTTACATGGTGTCACTACATGTGTATGGTATGTAGAATTGGCAATACCATTATGATAGCTGCCATTGAAATTCACAAAATAGTCAATATTTCTGTTATTAATACATGAACTTTAATTCACAAGGCTTATTTGTTATACTTTTTAGCCTAAAGAGTTGTAGGAACAATTTTTTCTCATAAGACAATGGTTATTAAGAATTTCATATTTAAACTGAAATTGTCTATTTATATTCATCAAATTAATACTGTAATATGTTATTACATATTATATATATATGTTATTATATATTATATAGATTCATGTTATAACATACGTAATATGTTATTACATGAATCATGTTTATAAAAAGATTAAGTTGTGTCCAATACAGATAAAAACCACTGACTGGAGGTATAGAATCAGTTACTGTATGCTGATCAATCTTCCAAACATAAATGTGCGAGGGATAAAGACTCGTTTGTTTTTGTTAGTATCAGCAACAAGTAAAGGAGACTTTGGTTCAAAACTAAATACCTGAAAACTAAAAATTTTGAATTCGATGTTCTATAAATTTGACATGTGTGATACTTATATATATATAAACTGCTAGAATTACTGCTTTGATGATACAACTGCATTAGAAATAAATCAATGTAAATGCAAAGTGGCACCCGTTCTGTTACAAAAAGTGCACACAAATGTAATCTTGATAAATTAATCAAGATACAAAACGGTGCCAGAGTACAGAGATGTCGGGAGAGTATTGTAAGCATGGAGATGGTTCCCTGCACTAGGTACACAATTAAAAAAAACAAAAATTGTGCACTTTTAGAGTCGAGGCTCGGGGGCATACATTGCACAGTTTCCACCACAGATACAGTTCAGAAACTCTATGATACTATCGAGTTGAGTGAAAATAGTGAAAGAAAACTAAAGACGAGGCTGGCTTGACAAATTATTTTAAATTAGAAAATTAGTAAGAATCTGACAAACAAAAAAATAAAAATATTGAACACTAACATTCCAACCCGCTGGCACATTCCCAAGGGTAAACATTCCAAGCATCTTAGGGGTCTCACTTGGAGACACTTAAAGTGTTTAAACCTGTACAGTACTCACTTAACTTTATCTTGGCTAGTTTTTGGGCTATTTTTATAAATTTGGTGTCAAAATGTTTGCAAATGAATTTGCTAAAGTACAGATGCAAGATAAAATGTGATTTGATAAAAAGAATTTGCACGAGTGCTGAATATACAAATTTTTATGAACATTCCAACATACTCATATTTCACAACATTCCACATTTACTTGTTGTGCATTGAATTTTGTAACTAGCTCATCAAGACTGTAACTTGCTTAGCTAAATGAATTGTGAGGTTCAGTCACTGAGCCCATTGTGTGCCTCCAACACTTTCCACTACTGCCCACAGGATGGGTATGGGGCACATAATAAATCAACTAAACTAACTTCTTAACATATACTGTATTTAAATAAAATGCAGAGATATGTGCATCATATCAATTGAGTTACAGTACTCCAAATTAAAAATTAACAACTTTCAAACTTCTTACAGGAAATTTGCAAAGCGCAGTGTAAATTCTCACACTCAAGAGCATTATCGTCATGAGTTTCCATTTTCTTGAGTTTAACAAATTTTTAATTTCAAGATGGATGATGCATTTTAGCATTACTGGAATCTTTAGTATTTAAAGTACAGATGACACATTTTTTGTCGTTTGGAACGTTTACTGCTGGAGTACAGACGATACTTTTCAGTATCATCATTGTTGTTACACAAACTATTAGTCAGGATTATCAAGGTCATATTGTATCACTAGCATAGGATTTATTTACGACATAATCAATATGCTATAACAGTACACATTAAAATCTATACATATTCCAAAAGATTATTATGATTACTTCACCTATCACTATGCACCAGATCTTACCTGAATGGTTTGAAAGAGTCCTTCACTGGACCATTTTTTTTGTGTTTCACAGCCAACATATGATCTCGTTTAGAGCCAAAATCAACTGCTGGCTTTTGTTCTTGAATACTGATGTTTGTCAAAGCTTTTGAAAGAACTTCAGCATGATCTTGAATTTCAAGCTGTCTCAATTCTCTGGCAATAGCATCTGCAGGATCTTCCTCTTCAGTTCTGCTTTTTGAAAAAAATATATTGCATTATGAAAATCAATCCCAAAAACAAAACAAAACAAATATTGATAATCCTTGTAGATGAATAATACAATAAAAACGGGATGTATTATGATCACAAGGCTTTACAAGTCATTAAAAATTATGCTGATTAAGCAAGTTTTTATGTATTATATACAGGTATTTCAACAAGCAAAAACAGTGCACACTAACAAAAATAAGATCTGTTGATTCTATGCAATGTATTTGACTCTATACAAAAGTTTGGAGTTTTTAACCCTGCTATGGCAGTAGCACAGAGCTGATGTCTAGGAATAAAATATCATGCGAGTGCAGTGACATTAAAGACTTTTTACCATGTCTTTTGCAATAAGAAACGAGATAATGATATAGGTGAGTGTCAAGGGTTATCTTGAGATGATTTTGGGGCTTAGTGTCCCCACGGCCCGGTCCTCGACCAGGCCGCGCTAATGAACAGGGTTGTCGACTTGCTTACATGAGAGGAACTACAGTAGAAGAAACCACATACAATACCACAGATTAATGCGCCAATACAGTATAAAATCAATTCTGGCACAATTCATAACTGTTTAATGATTTTACATCCAGGTGCTATATGCTCCATCACTAAATGAAAACAATGTAAAGTAGCTAATAAAGTACCAGACATCTCAAACATGAGGAAAAGTATGCAACAGAAAACTAATATTGTGATCACACTAACTACTGTATAAGAATTCAATAGAGCAGAAGACTGAACAAATGAATGTGGTAGGTAAGCATGGAATGTTTATTAGAAATGCTAAGCAGATGTGTGGTGATGCATGTATTGGCAAAATAATGAAAGGGACCGCTTGCTGCAACAAGCAGCAAGACAATGTGATAAAACGAAAAGAAGTAAATTCTGTATAAATGAAGCTGAAAGGGAAAGAGAAAAGAAAAATAGGGCTTTGAGAAATAATCCCCCAATTTGGTAGTGACAAATAAGTGAGGTAAGCCACAAAACGAAGGTTCATAATTGGCAAGCCCAAGTCAAGCCCCATAAACAGTGATGAGGTCCAAAGAGAATAGTTGGTAGCTGGAACAGAAAGTCACCACACTATACCCAGCAAGCGAAACCTGGTAGGAGAGCACCACAATGAACTCATCCCAGGAGTCCACCTAATTTGTTCATCATGACTGACTTACATTGTGTGCACAAGAATGAATGTTCTATCTAATGAGTGGAACATTGTTGAAGGCTATAATAAACAGCACCAGACAAAATAATACCAAAACCCACCAGCCTTCAACAACCAGCATTAAGTAGGCCTGAAGATATTTTAAAATTAATTGCTATTTACTATGAAAACAGACTTTTCTTACAATGTCAATTAAGGGAATATGGTACTGTAGTACTCACTGAATAGGTAATCATTTGTACAATATCCTAATTTATTTGATAAACCAAAAATCATGAGGCGGCAAATTTTACATACACTTACCGCTTAACATTTTGAATAGGCTTTTTTATGCAAGAAGAATGATATGCCATTAATTTCAGTGGGTCTAGTTTGTCATCCATCTCCTCTACATCATCATCACTATCGAGAATGTCTTTCTTCTTACGAGGTTCAGTTTTAGTGTTAGTCATACCTCTATTCCATTCTGAAAAATAGAGCATACAGTACAATACATGCATGAACAGTATTATCAATATCTGATGAAAAAAACAGACATCATGCCAACTTGCAACATTAAAGTTCATTTAAATATACTACAGTTTTCTTGATATTCTACCAAAAAGATTTTATCCTACAAATAAAAACTTTGTTTCTGTCAGCTAATTCCCCTGTCTCTGGACAAATATTTAGATATTGTAATCTTGACAGGCCAAGTGTATTGGGGAAATATTTGTTCCTGTTATTAAAATTAAGTAACATATTCATGGGCATTGAATATTTCAAGTCAAGTGCAGGGTGACTGACCAATATAATTAAGAGAAATATTTCAGGGAGATGTTGAGTACTGTACTGATGTAGTAGCCATGGAGACATTCAAGAGAAAAATTGCATAGCGTGATGACCAAGCACAAGTTTAACTTATTTCCAGGTGTACAATGCAGATGAAACCCGACTGGTTTGGAGAAGTTTACCAGCATGACTAATATTGTTGCTAGACATCTTTCCAACTCAAAATATGTGGAATAAAAAAAAGAAAGAAAAATCTTTCAAGGCTACAGATGATCTTGCCGTCATCTACAATAAGGTTCTCTTATCTTGAGGTTATCTAGGGGACCTGTCCAAACAAATGATGGGGCACACATCTGTCTATCCACCTGCCTCATAGCTGTAAGCCAGAATTTCATAAAAAAATCATCTTAAATGAGCACTTTTACAATACAGGAATTGATTTAAGACCAGTATTACAGACCATTCCCTCTACAAATTTGGGTGAGGCTAGCCTAAGCATCTGGTCTCCAACTTTGGACAGACAGACATTCTCTCTTCCAGTATAGATTAATATTTATAGACCACCAAAATTATTGTTCATATTTCCCAGGCAAAATATTTATAACATTTAAAAAAATTCTAAAGTCAAAGAATAATATTCATCTAAATTTCCCCTAATTCTGAATAGGTATACATATGGTAATGTGTATACCTCTATATATAATGTGTAAGATATGTAGCTGTAACTACATATCTTTAACGTGCAGGTTAAAAAGGGTCAAAGTTAGATCACACAGTTTTGTACCAGACTATTTTGTACTGTGACTGCTACTTATCGGTCACAGTACCTGTGACAGCTTATTAGTCACAATTACTAATGTACTTAAATCACTACCAGAAAATGCCTTACCTAATAAATTTATGTCGTTAAGTCTCTCTGCCTCTTCTAAATTCTTCTCTCTTTCACGAGCAGCTTCAAGTGCATTAGCAATTTCTTGGCGACGTTTCTGCAAACTTTGCCCTTTATCTTTCAATTTGGATATGACAACTCTGTAATAGTAAAACATAAAATATTAATGTATACAAGATTTTTTATATTTATGCCAAATTTTCATTCATGAGGATTGTTAAGTTCATAGAATACTGAATTTAATTTGTTTACTTTTTTCTTCTTTTTAAATAAGCAACTGGTTTAAGTACAGTAATGTATGTGGGATGGGTATAGGAATGGGCAAGAGTACAAGTTGTGGTATGAGTGAAATGAGTAAGAAAATAAAATAAGTAGTAATAAAGTGGATGAAGCACAAAAATTTAAGTGGCATATACATGTTAATAGGTTGCACAAGAACCACTTAAAGTGGAATAATAAATGATCAGTGCAGCTACATCAGAACTGGTAAGGCTTATAGCTGTTGCTATAACAACAGTACACTTCCCAGGACCAAACTAGTTTCTCTCAACAAATCGGAAAGCAGCATTGGCTCATGTCTCACCGGTATATACATGACTGCCTGACATATTCATCATCCTCATCACCAGATCATCTCCAGAAGCACCACCATGGAGCAGCCAGGAGTAACATTCTATAACCTACCTCGGCTCAGAGTGTTACTAAACGGTTTCAACTGCCAAACCACACCTTAAACCTGACCTGCCTTGACTCAGTCATCTCACCATCGAGACAGTTCAAGCTCTGTCGAACCATCTTGGGCATGCTATGACCGTACCCCGGTAAAATCATATACAAGTTAAGCTCTGTGTAATTAGTGGCTTTATATAATAAACAATTCATTTCCCAGCTATGAAACCACTTTTTTTTTTGTCCACTGTAATTTCTGATGTATGAATAAAATTATTATTATGCAGAAAAACCACAATTGAAAAATTAGAAAATGCATTTAGCATTTTAACCTCAATTTGCCTTCATCAGAAAATGATAGAATGGGCATGCTCTAATTTTTCAAATGTGTTTTTTTTTCCACATACAGTACTTGGATCAGTATGTTTGTGATCATTGTTGCATTATAATACATATGATCAAGAAAAAGATCATATGTCTTGTCTTCCTATCTTTGTCGAGGCCACTAGAATGGTTGTGGCCCTCAGGTAAATTCATGTAAATATAGTTAGGTTAGGTTATGCGAAGCTGCATTACTTAGATGCAGAAAAAAAAGGCATCACTGCCCTGCCTAGGCCGATACCCTAATATAAAATCTGTTTAAGCAATGCAATATACATCTGTGTTTATCAGTACTTGTATGGTATTAATTCATATTAAGTATACTGTATATATATATATATATATATATACATTATATTATGTATATTTCATTAGACCCAAATTAAGTCAAGCCTCGAGATATCATAGTACAAAACTCCTTACTTATTATTCAAGGTTTGGTCTTGTCTCTTCAATATTTCTTCCAACTCGATGGCCGTCTTTTTATTCAGATCTCCTATGTATCCTTGCTTCAGCTTGGGGTCATTGATTGACATATTATCTCCCGTAGCGGGAAGTTTCCTCCAATGCCTGTTGGTATACTTGTATATGGGTGTTGAGCTGTCCATAGTGCTCTCGCAGCCTCCACTGATGCTTGGTGAACGTGGAGATGTCTCAGCCTCCAGTGATGCCTGGTGAATGCGGAGGAGCTTCAGCCTCCACCGATGCCTGGAGATTGTACAGCTGCCTCAGCCTCCAGTGATGCCTGGTGAACGTAGAGCTGCCTCAGCGATGCCTGGTGAACGTGGAGCTGCCTCAGCCTCCAGTGATGCCTGGTGAACGTAGAGCTGCCTCAGCGATGCCTGGTGAACGTGGAGCTGCCTCAGCCTCCAGTGATGCCTGGTGAACGTAGAGCTGCCTCAGCGATGCCTGGTGAACGTGGAGCTGCCTCAGCCTCCAGTGATGCCTGGTGAACGTGGAGATGCCTCAGCCTCCACTGATGCCTGGTGAACGTGGAGATGTCTCAGCCTCCAGTGATGCCTGGTGAACGTGGAGATGCCTCAGCCTCCACTGATGCCTGGTGAACGTGGAGCCGCCTCAGCTTCCACTGATGCCTGGTGAACGTGGAGATGCCTCAGCCTCCACTGATGCCTGGTGAACGTGGAGCCGCCTCAGCTTCCACTGATGCCTGGTGAACGTGGAGATGCTCAGCTTCCACTGATGCCTGGTGAACGTGGAGATGTCTCAGCCTCCAGTGATGCCTGGTGAACGTGGAGATGCTCAGCTTCCACTGATGCCTGGTGAACGTGGAGATGCCTCAGCCTCCAGTGATGCCTGGTGAACGTGGAGATTCCTCAGCCTCCAGTGATGTCTGGTGAACGTGGAGATGCCTCACCCTCCACTACCACAACTTATCACCCTACTGACAAGCTGATTTGGGTTGACGTTCGTCGACGACACACACTCTGGGCCGGCCACAGCAGACGCCTCCAGATCCGGATTTCTCATCACATAGACGGAGCACACACATGGCTGTGACGTCAGGTGTGGAGTCTGGTGTGGTCTGCACACACCTGCCTACTGTGTGCTCTCTTCTGTGCACACATTGACCGCGTATATATATAGATATATATACATATTTCTCGTCATCTGGCCAGCAAGAGGTAGTTCTCAGGATGTCGCTCTTCTGTTTGGTGCAGGAACTATACAAATATTTTGTTAAAGGTACGGTATGATCTACAGTATATATTTGTCATTGGGGCTTGAATGAAGGTGTGTGTGTGTATTTTCAGGGTTATTGACTTTTAATATATTGTTAAAAGTACGGTATGATCCATATATTTGTCATTGGGGCTTGAATGAAAGTGTATGTGGGTGTGTTCTGGGTTATTGATTGTCTTGTTAAAGGGTACGTAAGTGATCTTTGTTTTAAAATGATTGTCTTAGTAAGGATAGATGTTTAACCTTTGTGTTTTAAAATGGTTAAACCTTCTTCCTCCCCATCTTCCTTATGATTAAATATAGTCCCCTGTGGCGCAGTGGTAAAACACTCGCTCGGCGCTTCACAAGGGCTTTGGCCTGGGGTCCGTCTATTTACAGCAAGCTACCACAAGCTACACAAAGCTTCCTGGCAATACGTTAGTAATGAATAAATATGATAGGTTAGGCTGACCTAACCTAACCTAGCCTTACCTAACTTAACCTAACCTAACCTAACCGACGCTTGGATCATCGACTTGATTTGGCATCACCAGCTCTTTATTTTCGTCTAATTTCTTTATAAAAAGATTCTTTTTCAGATTAAAATTATGTTTTTTTGTGTTGTACATTCAGCACCAACATTATAATGAGTAAATATATCATATTTATTCATTACTAACGTATTGCCAGGAAGCTTTGTGAAGCTTGTGTAGCTTGTGGTAGCTTGCGGTAATTAGACGGACCGACCTGGGTTCATATCCTGGCTGGGGAGGATTGACTGGGCGCCAATCCTTAACTATAGCCTGTGTAAGTAGTCCCTATAGAACCCTAAAAGACTTACAATGAGATAGGATTATTTTTTAATGAAACTAAATTTAAACATAATTTGATGTGTTATACAATGTTAGTAGAATATGAATAGGAAAGTAATTTGTCTAATAACTATAGTTTAAGGATTGAAGACTGTAGTGTGGGTTTACATGGGCCTATGCCCAAATGAAACATGTAGGGGTGATAATATACGTAAAGATATTTTTTTTGTTTTATCACTATTTAAAGAAGATTGGAAGATAAATTTCTGTTGTTTAAATGTACTGTGTGGTGTGGCATCATCCACTTGCCTCTGGGAGTCTTTTTTGGATACTACAGAATAAAAATGTTTCTTTGACTGTATCCAACTTGCTCTTGACCAATGATCTGTAGAGGGTTACATTCCAGGAAAAAAACCCTGTGTGAAGCATAAACTCAAGGTTTTTTACAGGCATTAAAGGCAAAGATGGGATATGGTGAAATTGTATATTTTGTCGTACATTTTGTCAAAGCTTCTTTCCTAATATATAAAACTATGTACGCATGTTGTGTTAGGCTGTGTTGGGTTAGGTTAAAATCCATTAGGTTAGGCAAACCGTCATGGGTGCAGAATGACCCGTATCTGGTAAAAATGTGGTGTTTGAATTCTCAGCACAACCGGGAAGTAAGGTAGGAGACAAGTTGGGTAGATACAAGAGTGGCAAGATGTCACGCACTAAAGCTGCGGCTCTGAGTATAATATATTAAGATATGGGTATGTTTTTTTGTAGAGTACAGTATTACAAAATATCAACTGAAAGTATTTTGTGGTTGATAATTACAGTACTGTACAATATTTTATAATGTGTTTAATGTGCTTTATTTATTGTTATATAGAAGTCTACTGTGTATGAGGTAGCCAGTTAGCCAATGCTTCTACACTTATATTTGTTCGTATTTTTTTTTATGTACGATGACGCGTACATACAGTGGGACCCCGCTCAAACTCCAGTATATGGGACAAAGCAAACTCTTTCCATGTGAGATTTAGTTCATTAAGGCAAACTCCTGGCCCTCCTCCGGGGTAATTTTTTTTATTTTTTGTTTTTACCTGTTTTTGTAAGGCCTATAATCACTGTAATGTATATACAGGTTTATGTAATGATAAACTAATCCACATAAAATGTAAATTACTGTAGTAATAATCATTGCAGTACAGTATATAAATAAATACAAATTTTAGGACATAGGTTAACAAATTTCTGGGGAGCCCTTTGTGATTCCCTAAAGCGATTTTGCTGAGATGGCTCCATTCTTTTAGGTCACATCACATCTTTTAGGTTACGAAACCTGCATTTCCTACACATATACAATCATTGTGAACATTTCAGTACTGAAATTATATATTATGGCCTTTCTGGGGCAAGAACCTAAAATCGTTATGAAGAGTTCACATCACAATACACCACATTTTCACTAAGATTACCCGCGTGACAATCGCGTGTTTGCTTACTGTGGCCAAGCCTGCATTCAAATATTAAACCCAGCTATGGTTCAGGTCTACAAATCCTTATACAGTAAATATATATATATTTTTTTTGAGTTGTGAACATTTTAACTGGACTAAATCATATTTGAATTTTCCATAAAATTGTTATGGCAGGGTCCCACTGTATTTACAGCAGTGAATGACATGGAATACTGTACTCACAATTTAATTAAGTTTAGGAAATAGATATTATTTTTTATCGTGTCCAAGGTAAACGTTCATGCCATTCACTGAAAATTTAACGCTTCTTGATTTCAGATATTGTAAGTTTCAGTATTTATATTTGTTAATTCACTACATTCATTGTAATTTTAATAAGAAGGTTACTGTTTGATGTGTAAATGTTTTATCTTTTTTTAGACCTAGTTAAATGTGAATGTAGACAACATATCTGGTGATAAAATTAGGCAAAATATCATTAACCTATGTTGTTTCAATTATTTAAGTTACAAATTGGAGGTTGCTCTTTGGTAAGTATGATTGTAACTTGTATAATACAGTAGAATATAGAAAGAAAAACTTTAAAATTTTCAGTGTAGGGCATGCCTTTCTCGCCATTTCTTCTAGGGTCACTTACCCTTTATAAACCAAGACAAAAAAGTAAACCCAAAATTAAAATTTTTTTTAGTCTTGTTTACAGTCGGTCTGTTTGTTTCCTATGGCCTCGGTGTTGGCATGTAAAGACATTAAATATGTACCGTAGCCAAAATATCTTTGTCCTCACTGCAGTAATCTTTAACGCACACATTCTCAGTGGTCTGTATGTTTGTGTATGCATGCATCTTGTATGTGCCATTCAGAGCAGTGGCAAAATTATTTGGGTAATTTATATATAGATTTTCTTGTACCTTCTTATTTTTACATAGTAAAACAGTGTATTGTCATTGTTTCAGAATTCTATTTGTTGTAAATACAGTACAGTATAATAGAGTGGAGTTGCATATACTGTACTGCTAAATTTAAAAATCCAGCTCGGTAAAATCAGCAGGACATATTGGGGGTACTTTGACAAGCTGCCAGCTTGCTGTCCTTGTTGAGGCCACTAAAGAGATATATTGGCCCTCAGGTAAATTCAGGTAATCCACAATAATTGGGACAGAAACCTGTTTTAGACAACTGGGCATATGTTTGAATTACACATTTGCTTTTGCCATTTCTGAGGGAAGGGGGGGGGGATGACCCTTGTGGTTCCCTGAAGCCATCTTGCCAAGGATCATCATTCCAGAGGTTTTGTTTCTCTCGGGTCCGTCTTTTGGCACCTTGGGAGACGCTCTAAACGTACCTCCTTATGAGACCCAGATTGTGCTTCTTTGATGGACCCTTCCTCTTTTGAGTGAGTCTAATCATTTTTGGGCACATTATGAGGAGCTGATATTTTCCTGGCTAGCGGACAGTCCTTTGTTCTTGTTAGGGGCTTGGTAGCTTTTATTGTACCCTTGTGCTAGAGTGGTGTGAGGTGTCAGTTGTGTTGCAGGCATTTCTGGGCACCTTTCTTATTTGCCTCTATGCTCCTGCTCTCTTGGGTCTTGTCCAGCTCCATGCACAAGTTCTTTTGTTGTCGGTGGCAATTGTGACAGATGACCTTCATGCCCGTGCATTTGGGTTCCATCGTGTGGGTTTTTGGGCCTCCTTGAATTACATACTGACTGGTTCTGGGAGGAAGTTGAGGCTCTTGGCAGAAGGCCTCATGTAAGGGTTTTGGCTATTACTAGCTGCATCGGCTGCTCTCCTCAACCTGTATGCTCCGACGGGCAATGACGCTTTAACTGCCTGACTCACGTGTCGGCAGGCTGTGTTCACCCCTCTTGATGGGGGTAGTGGTGAGGCAGCTCATCTGGTTTGCCAGCTCCTGGTTCCATGATTTATGGGCTTTTGGGTCATTTTCCTTGGCTTTCAGTGGATATAGTCGGTTTCCCCACCTCTCTGGGGGTTCGGGTCCTTCTGGTCAGGCTTCTTCCCCCTTGTCTAAGTCTGCTCATCTTTGAGTGGGTGGCATCTGGCATGTGATTGCATCACTTCGATGGGTTTCCCGCCTCTTCCCAGTACTGAAACGGGATGAGAGACTCAACCCAATGGTATCCTCATCTCGATGATAGTACAGTACTGTATAAGGTTTCACGGCACTCCACCACTTATTTTCCCTTCGTCATTGTCTATTTCCTAATGCTCCTCTTTCTTGCTTTTTTCTTGGGCAGCATCTCGTGCTAAATACTGTTGCTTTGTATCATGCAGTTTTGCAATATCAATAATTTATCTGTTAATGCTCAATGCCTAAACCATCCATCATCCTGGATGACTACCAGTCCTGTGGTTCACCTGGTGGTGTTGAGTAAGTCTTTGCTTATTTTCCTGAAACTTTAATATGCTTATTGGCATGTTCTTATTCTCTGAGGCTTGAAAATTTGCTTATAATTTTGGTTTGAATGCACTTCCAACTACTTTCAGGTTCTTTTCTTTCAGTATGTTAAAATGATAAAAAAGATCACAATATCTTGTTCACTTCTGGGCCATTAAGATTTACCAGTATTACCAATAGTAGGGGGAAAAGTTAAGCACACACCCATTGTGTTCAAATACCCCACCAATGATAACTTTTTTCACTGCTCCATCCTCCTAAAAATTATAGAAAGCTAAATGGTTATTTCACCAAAGTATGAAATTGGTTCCTTAAAATAGTAATAGAAAGTCATACATGTTCATAGGCACTTTCCGCAATCAAGATGCTTAACCGAGCTTATGGGAGTAGAAAATTTGTACAATTTTTTCCCTCTGTAGTAGTGTTGCCAGTCTTGTGAGTTGGTGCTAGTACACGCCAGTATTCCAGTTGTCATACTGCTTAGGAACATGTAAATCTAAACAGATGGCTACTGAAAAGTTACCTCATCTAATATAGAAAAGCTGCTTAATGTGCATAATTTTGCCCTTTTCTTCATCAGGCATACCATAATCTGAAAAATAAATAAGCCAGTATAGTAAGAAATTTGTTTACAAGTAAAGGCTAGTAAGAATGGATGGAAAATTTATTTTGAATTTTAGTGAACTAGTAAGCATAGACAGTCATACAAAATAAAGAAACCTAAAACTCCTTGTAATAATGCAAAACAAATTTTTACTTCCTTTCAGAAAAGGACTACTGATGAATTAGCAGCAAGTTTTGGGTCTTGTGTGCTTTCCAGCTTCACTGAAGTTCCCACTTTGCCACACTTGTCAAGCGATCAACATCATGGATACCTCATGGGATAATCTTCCAGTTAAACTTTTGGCTCCTGTTAAACGAACTATCCAAGACTTTGGTTTCCAAAGCATGACCCCTGTTCAGGCTGCTTGCATCCCATTGCTGCTCAGTCACAAAGATGTTGCAGCTGAAGCAGTAACTGGGAGTGGGAAAACGTTAGCATTCCTGATTCCCATCATTCAGATTTTAAAACAGCGTGAAGATCCCTTAAAGAAGCATGACATCGGAGCTCTCATTGTGTCCCCGACCCGGGAGTTGGCCACACAGATTCATGAAGTACTACAAGGGTTCCTAAAATATTGTCCACAGATCACTTCCATGCTAACAGTTGGAGGATCATTTGCTGGTGATGACCTCCAGACTTTCAAAAGTAGAGGGGCCCACATTTTAGTGTCCACACCAGGACGCCTTGAAGACTTGCTGGCTCGTAATACATTTGAAGGTCCCAGTCTTGCTGCTGGTGTAAAGGCCTTAGAAATATTGATCCTTGATGAAGCTGACAGACTTTTAGACTTGGGTTTTTTTAGTACCTTGAACACTATCTTTGCTTATCTCCCTAAACAGAGAAGAACCGGTTTATTTTCTGCTACACAAACTTCAGACGTCATCAGCCTTATTCGTGCAGGATTAAGGAATCCTTTACAGGTGAAGGTAAAAGAAAAAGATGCAACAGGGGATGATAGAACACCTCTTTCTCTACATAATTATTATATGGTGTGCGAGGAGGAGAAGAAATTTGACATTTTAGTTAAGCTTTTGCAAGACAGGGAATCAAAGAAAACAATGCTCTTTCTACCCACTTGTGCTTGTGTTGAATATTTCACAATTGTATTGAAAGAATTGTTAAAAAATATACAATTTTTATCTTTGCATGGTAAAATGAAGGAGAAGAGATTTAAGGTATTTGATAAGTTTCGAGCTCTTAAATCAGGGGTCTTATTATGCACAGATGTAATGTGCCGTGGTGTAGATATACCGAGTGTTGACTGGGTCATCCAATATGATCCACCCTCTACAGCTTCTGCATTTGTTCACCGTTGTGGCCGCACTGCAAGAAGTGGCAATGAGGGTTCAGCGATTGTCTTGCTACGACCATGTGAGACAGATTATGTAGAATTCATCGAATTGAACCAAAAAGTTACCTTGAATCCTTTGGATTCTCCAACAGATGTACCTGAACTTTTGAAGAAATTAAGGAAACTACAGCTCCAGGATCGTTCAGTAATGGACAAAGCAAATCGTGCATTTGTGTCATTTATTCAGTCATATGCTAAACATGAGTGTAATGTGATTCTTAATGTTAAAAGCTTGAGTCTTGGTCGCACTGCCTCTAGTTTTGGCTTACTGAAACTTCCCAAAATGCCCGAGTTGAAAGGTGTGAATGTTACTGACTTTGTCCCTGTAAAAATGAATTACAATACTATTGCTTATAAAGATAAGCAAAAGGAAAAGAGCAGGCAGCAGAAACTCAGCATATACAGAGAGACAGGTCAGTGGCCGGGTATGAAGCCGTACACACCAAAACCTGAACCTTGGTCTCAGAAAAAGGATAAAATGGAAAAAAAGAAGAAAAGACATGAAAAGAAACTGAAGCGAGGGCACCAGTTTACTCAAGAAGACTTGGATGATTTGGAGGAAGATTTTCGCATGGTGAAAAAATTAAAAAGAGGCAAAGTCAAAACCAAGGATTTTGACAAGCACTTTGGCTGCGATGTTGATGATGAAACACAAGAAGATGATGAAGGGGATGCTAGCAGAAACAAATAAATAGATATGAAAAATTGGAGCTTGTTCATTTTTAACAGTTGAAATTTTATTGTAATCTAGTTACTGTTCAATGAGTTAGTTTCTGATATGCTGAGAAAGTCACTATTTACATACTGTGCTTTCAGAATATATTTTAATACCTTATCTCTACATAAATACAGAAAGTACTGTACTATTATACTGTTCTTAAAAAAAGTTGTATGTTGAGATGCAGTAAATGTTCAGTTGAATAAACATAAGCAAATTAATGTTTTTATTATGAAAACAGTTAAATTAAGGTAAATACTTTGGGAAACTGAAATGCCAAGATTGCTGTACAGTATTTGAAATTATAATACTTGTATAAATATATACAAGAAGCTACCTGAGACTTTTATTTATTAATATTAATGATTTTATTATTATTGGTAATTTGTTTTTTCTTACAAAGGCTGAGATGTACTTCCAAAATTGATCTATAAAAATGTGAAAATCTAGTAAATCGGCCCTCATCACTTGCTGAAGCATAAGAAGCTCATTGTTTTGTCCATTGGGATCCTGGCCAGACAGAGTTGGACTCACTTGTTCTTGGTTATAAAGTTCTCAAGGGATGAAAGTTTGTCTCTAGCATTGATGCTACTGTAGGGTGAGCCTGTTGAACGCTGAGCATGGTAATCGTATCCATACTTTTCAGTGCCGAAAAGTCAACGGTAGTTTTGTGTAGAGATTGTGTGCAAAACTACAATAGTGCTTCATCTTACATTTGTAGGATTATGTGTAAACTGTCACTGGAAGACAGCACCGTCTTTAAAATACAATGGACTCTCCTTTAGGCAAGAAACTGTATACAGTACAGTAGTTGGTTTCATCCTAACTTTTTAAGAAAGTTGTTTGTCTATGTACTATACAAAAAACAGATTCGACTTTAACTGTGACTTTTAAGAATTATCAATTGCTATTTAAATATTAATGAGAACTTAAAAAGAAGTTTGATAAAATAAGGTACAGTACTGCATAATTGATCTTTGAATATTTGGAATTACTGTACTGTATTTCTATGCTTTAAGCTCTGATGAAAATAAATGTAATAATTAACTAATAGTCCAGTAAGGTGATTTTTTAATAATAAATTCAAAGTCTGTATTAAGGTTATTATAATGCACTACTGTACAGTATTTGTTTAATTTGGTTTTAACACCGTCATGTACATTCTAGATTTTTCACCGTGAATGCTGCACTCTAATGAAGGTACTGTATTATATTGCTTACTGTACAGTGGAACCTCGAGTGACGAGCGGCTCCAGTTACGAACAAGCCACTCGCAGAAAATATGTCTCGACTGACGAGCTTTCGCTTGATTAACGAGCATTCCCACTGATTCTCGGACACCTCCAACGACAGTTTTGTTGTTGTTTCGCAAGAAGAGTTTACTACATGACGAGCTCGGTGCCGGAACGGATTAAACTCGTTAATCGAGGTGCCACTGTATTTCTCTGATAGCTACCATTCAAAAGTGTGCGGTTAGTTTTTAACGTTTAAAAATTTGCTCGACATTCTAAAATATAGAACTGATGTCATTTGGTGATTGACTAAATATAAGTTATTCCTCTTTTTATATTTTCTGGCAGTTTTGAAGGATACCAAATACTGTTTGCTAGTTATGTTTAAAAAAAAACGGGCCAAAAATTAAAACAAAAATTATATAGGCATATTTTTTATGCTGGTATCACAATTTTGTTCTCTTCAAGGAAGCAATATCATGAATAATAGCAAATTATAATGACTTACTTTGCTAAAAATAACTTACAACTTAAGATATTGAACATCATTTGGTATCTACATAATATAGGTTTTTAAATATTTGTTTCATTACATTTCCTATTTTAGAGTGGACACAGTAGGGCATTGGGGTAGTAGTGCACCTGTGTGAGGAGTGGGACATCTAAGGCAAAGAGTACGCAACAAAGGATGCGAGTGAAGGTGGGGGAGGGCAGTGTTTGGCTTCATTTATGTAGCCCAGGCCAAGGTTACCAAAATTTTATATAGACCAAATTCATTCATCTAAAACTGACTTCCAGAGAGATAAATAAAGTATGTTTCAAAGGTGAACTAACAACACTAGGAAAAAAGGGGTTTGGATTAGGCTTCAGTGGCAGCTTCAGGAACCTTAGAGGATTGAGTTGAATCCCAGGTTGCAGTGTTTTTACCATGTAGTGGTCTAAAGCGTGCCTGGGAGTACCCAGCACATGGCTTTGAATCCTCCTCACGGCTCCTACTGATTTTCTCACTGATACATCACATAATGTGATTTCCTTGTGTATCTAACCCCACTATCTCCTAATTACATATGTTAATATGTTAAGTTAGAGCAAGGTTTATGTTCACTATTGTTCATTACATCATATATAACAGTTGAATTGTAATATCTTAATGTGAAACATTCAGTACTGTGGGGGTCAAGAAAGTTTCAAATATATCCATCCATAACCCATAAATTGCTGACTATGGTTATAAACATAGTGCGATAATTAAGTGTATACTGCTAACCATGTAAATTAATGTTTCTACTACTGTAGTAGCAATTAGTAAAATTGATTTGTGCTTAGCAGTGTTTATTACCAGAATATAATTATTTATTGCTAAGCACAAAGATTGTGCTTAGCAATGTTTATTGTTTTGACAACATTTAGTATTTTTCTTTAGATACCTCACTGCTAGTGTTTATTTTGCTACTACAGTATATAATAAAATCAAGCTAATACTGATGGTAAATTGAGGGATAGCTATGGCACGACTTATTTACAGCGCCAAAGAAATTGGGTCCAAAACTTGCTGTAAGCAATTAAAATGCTGTAATATGGAATTTTGTATATTGAAGGTTAGGTTATGGTGTATTTTCTAATATTTGTAATACAGTACTCCATATTATAATTAAGAAACTATCAAAGAAGATAATTACTCATAAAAGTAACTTTTTTGTAATTTCATTGTGTTCATAAAATTAAACAAATTTTGTTCTCAAAACTGAGCACACACTACTCTCCAACCTATGAGTTCGATTCTATCTTACGGCCTAAATATTTTCTCAGTTTGTGAACTGGGTAAAACTATTGTTCATCTAAATAATGCTACTTTGAAAATTTACCCAATAACTGGAAGTCATTGTGCATCACAGCCACCAGCATATTCTTTAAATCTGCATGAAATATTTCTTCCCTTCCTCACTGCACTGCAAAAAATGGATATACAGTACTGTATAATATTTTTATAACAATTTAATGCTGTAGCATCATTGGGAAATGTAGCTTTGCTCACTGCTTTTTTGAGAGTTCCCCTCTTTGGACTCCTTCCATCTCCTTGATAGCTCTGTAGTAATTGCCTGTGCACTCATTATTTTCTTGAACCAATATATTTCGTAGAAGCTAACTCATTCTATTTAAATTAATGTTGAGTCTCGGTAGATGTAGTTGTCATTTTTAAGGATCTCTGTCTTGGAATGTTTTAAAGTTTTTATCTTCATTCTTTGGGTTCTTCAAGAAATGAGAAATTATTACACCATAAGATCTGTATTATCTTACATCTATAATGGAAGCTTGACCCACAGCATGACAGGATTCCATACACTGACAATGAATTTGGTCATATCCATTTTAATTTTTGTTCTACTTGACTGAAGTCATGAGATTATCACATCATCTGCAAAGAATATTAAAGTAAATTTTATTTTTATTGTAATGGTAATGGAGATGTAACTGTGTTCCTAACTCAAATTATGTAAATTCTAACAGTGAGAATAGATTGGATTTTGAACATAATGAAGTGCTTTTCTGAGCAACTACTTCATTGCTCACTAAGGCAAAAAACTAATGGTCTCAGGAGAGATATTTGCTCAGGGCACTGGCAGAAGTAAGAATTTTCCAGACTCAGGTCATACTGGGGCTAAGGAGACTCAAGAATACTCAATCCTGCTCTGAATGATTGCCAGAAAACACATTCTAAACACTCGGTGCTCTTCAGAGTACTAATTGGCATGACAAGGGCCAGAAGTCGGTGCTCCTGCAAACTGCTGGTTACTCTACCTGTCCACTATCCCTGGCCTCTACCAAAAGGCAGCACCTCACAGTTGAACTAATACTAAGCAAGCCACCTTTACTCAGGAGAGGTGACAGTAGGGATGACTGGGTAACAATCAAGTGGCTTGTCAAGAAAAGTGCTTTTCACTGTACTGTAAAGTATAGTACTGAAAAAATCATTTCGGAGCTACAGTATTTCACTTGGTTGCTCCCAATGACAAGACTGAAGAGTGGAAGACAAAGACATTAAATATAAACAAAATTAAGATGGGTAACAGTTACTTAGGGTGCAGAGAGGATGAAGAGGCAGTGGCAGCAGCATCACACATCTTGGCTGGTGAAATCCTTCAGAACGGGAACTTGAAAGTGCACTTGCAGTAGACACCATTTATCAAGGAAGCATCCAAAGACTGAAAATTAATACAAAGATTGAGAAAACCTAGTTATAATGAGATATGACTAAAAATTGCCACCTGACATGACAGTAAACTTGAGGACGTACAAAGCAAGATAGGTCCATTTTGAAATGCACTTGTCAGATTCCAGAACAACAACAAAGGGTGAAGAATGAGACCTATAAAATACAAATTCATAACATTGTGGGTTATGAACATAACAACTTGGTAATTGAAAAAACTTTTAAAGAGAAAGGGTAGGTTCCAATGGCACGCATTCGTAGAAAGGCAGCATTTAAAAGGAGATAATATCTGGCAGGAGTCACTTGTCCGCAAAGAACCTGCTAAAGAGGAACACGAGGTATTACACATACTACAAAACTCCACTACTTCAAGAGGACTGCCACAAGCATTTAGACTGGAGAAAATAGACAATTCATCTCCTGGAAAAAAGTTTAAAGTGTCCAGTGCAAAATGAGGAATGAAGTTGCAAAATAGGTAGCTGACAATGTCATGCAGATGCAAACAAATCTACCTTTGGGTGTGCTGCAAGTGGCACATAACCCACACTATTCCAAACCCAGAAAGGTAGAACTGAGAGGATCACTGTCAACATGATGAATACCTTGCAAATGTTGATTAATTAGATAAAAATCCTGAAAGCCATAAAGACACTATGGCAGGCATACAACATTGAAAAGGCATGGAACTGACAATGCACTCTTCTTTCCTAACCTCAGGTTGGGAAGATTTATAACTGGCTCAATGTTTCATTGTAGAGAGATGCCCAGCAGGAGGGATGCACAAGAACACAAATCAACTAATTTCCTGTAAATGGTGGGAGGTCCACAACAATCTCTGAGACAAAGTCCCAACCAAAACTGGGGTAGGTCAGTGTATAGCTTGTGGAAAGACCATGGTTGCATTTATTAAAGACCATGAAATCCTTAGACTTAAGAGGAAATAGCTGGAGTTTGCGATTCCACAAGGCAAGACACAATGAATCCAGAGTCTGAGCATAACATGATCCAGTGGAAACACTGCTCAAGAAAAGAAATCAGCCAACTATAGAAATTTTCAAGCTCCCTATGAGGGTGGAGGTGCTGTTTGAAGATACATTAATTAACAACAGGATTGCAAACTGAGTTAACAGAATCTATGGAAAAGAAAAAGAGAGAGGCTGGCCTGGAGACCTAAAGTAGACTAGAACAAGGTAAAGTGAAGACTGTTAATTGGTATTCCAGCTCACAAAACAAAACCAAAATTGCCATAAAAGGGCAAACTAGGCAGAGCCAATGGTTCCATGAGGCTAAATTTCCTGAGAAACTGCCAAGTTAGATGCAAAGAGGGACATGACTTCTACATGCAATGTACTAGTGCACAAAAATTATCTATTAATACCAAGAGCCCACTTCTGAGTGAAGCATAATGACCTGACTAACCAGTACATGGGCAAGTCAGATTTTGAGGCAGCTAAGTTCGGGGGGATCCTATGTGTATTGGCCCTGCTGCCTAGTGTTTGGTCAGGGATTAGGTCTGAGCAGAGAAAACGGAAGTTTGTGAGAGCACTAATTGGGGGGCATGTACAGTAATTCCAATTTACTCTTGGAAGGGCTTATATTATTTTATGTGCATTCAGGTAAGTTTTAGTATTTTCTTAGCACAAGTATGACCTTGCAGGGACAGTTTGAAATTATCCTTGTTGCATCAGTGCAGATTGTTTACCTGGCCAACTAAGCATAACCCTCTTTTGGTGGTCAGGTGATTATCTTCCTAAAGAGCACCTGAGTGGATTAGTTCATAATGAATCTTAAGCCAAGGTAGGATTATGAATTAAGGTAATAATGATGACAATATATGTGTAATATAAGCTTAGGGTACATTAGTTTTGCAAGTAGATAGTTTGTTTCCTTGTGCAGCTAACACAGATCGATACACAGGTTCAATCAAGTATTTATTATTTTGCAGGCCAGGCCCCTGGAGATCCCTATGTGGATCGTCTACCTTTTAGTCTTGGCAACAGGTTTTGCTCCACCACCCTCCAAGGCAGAGCTAATGTAAGTAATATGTTTACTTGGCAATTAGTGGTTTATGGGTTGTAATGTTTAGCAAATACAGGGATTTAGAAGCAGAATACAGGTACAGTACAGTGTAATGAGCCTCAACCTACAAGGGGTAGCAACTCTTGACAGCTCTTGGATGAAAATATAATCATAAATTAGTATTGTTTTGATTGTAAATTATTTTAGTTCAAAATTTATGTCAATGGACATTTACCATAATACACTAAATATAATTTTGTAGAAATTTACTACAGTGCGGTATTGTATTCCCAAAACTCTCTCCAGGTAGAGTATTTTGTTTTTGGTCTAGTCTTTGGGTCACAGTAATTGTGAAAGTGCTTTTTCAGATACTTCGGCTGGGTCAGAATAACTCTACTTAAGATATGGTTAGATTAAGTGGGATTTTAGACTGAAATTGACCTTACAGTATTAATAAAGAATAATGAATACCGTTGAAATTTTGCCCTATTTATCTTTCCCATATCCTGAATCTTATAAGTAAATTCATGCTGGCATTTACTGTCATTTAGCCCATATTCGAACAGATCAGAACTGAATCCTACCAATATAATTCACTGTGTAATTCATTGTGTTGGAGGACAGGCAGGCAGTGTATATATGTACAGTATACTGTATATACATGGTAGGCTGTATCAAGGTTCCTCCCAAGGTCAAACTACTGACCCTCTCCAGGATCCAACCCCCACAACAAGTTAACTTCACTCCTGGGTACCTATTTACTGCTCGGTGAATAGGTGCATTAGTTGATAGGGAACACTCCCAACCATTTGTGTTCTGCCTGGGATTCAAACCTGGAATTGTGATTCAAGAATGAACCTGACTGTACTACCAATATAATGACCAAGTTAGAAAAAAACACCATCTTTTCATTTAATTAAGCTTTGGTAAATCAAAATACCCCCCACTCATAATCCCACACCATCAACAACCCACCACTTTAACACCAACAATATGCCCACCCCACTACACCCAACCTACTCTTCCACTACACCCACAGTCGTCTTCTGCACCTACACACTTCTACTGTATTCCCATACTTTGTCTTCCCCACACTCTTCTACCCTCACCCCCCATGCTTCATGCCATCCCCCACACTCTACCACCCTTCCCTTCCCACACCCTTTCACTCTACTCCTGTATACCCTTCCACCTCCATCCACCCTACACTTATTGCACACCATCCCATGCACACATCCACCCACACACTTCCATCCCAACACTTCCACCTGACCCTCACAATCATCCACCCTACACCTACAATCATCCCCCCCCACAATCATCCACCTCACACATTTTTAAATTTCGTCCTGGTGACAGGTTGGGCATGAGGAGAAGTAGAACCCTCAGAATTCATTCTAGGTATACTCCAGTTATATCCATCCACATCACCCATTCTTACCACCTGCTTACTAACTACCCTACACATCATACTCATTCTCCATGTTCATATTTTACATTATATGTGCCAAAAATATTTATAATACTGTATTGTTTGTATTGCAAAAAATGTTTGGCATAGGGACTTCCCATGATAGGCTGTTATTGAAAGGCTCCTAAATAATAAATCTTTATAGTGAAGTAAGTCATGGTACCTGTCTTTGAGGTAAGAACCTAATAGAAACTTTTTTTCTATTCTCTGTCCAAATACATGTAGGTTGCCAAGGCTACATTGGCACTGGTGACCGTGGCCTCCTTGGGAGCATATGTGGTGGGCCCAACAGTGGTCAACGCACTGGCTGAGATTCCAGCACCGGCTGAGATTCCAGCACCGACAGCCATTACCATACAAAAGAAAAAAGATGACTTGATTCTCATTGACTCTACTAACTGAACATATATTATTAGTTTAAACTTAGTATCGCAGGTGGTGTCGGGACGTTTACAACTGTCGAGTAACAGTAAATTTGATTTCTGTTTTTGCAAAAGTTTTTAGCCTAGGACATCAACCATTCTGAAATTCTTAGGGATAATTATTGAGAGCATTGGAGGCTAGCTAGAGCAATCCACAGTAAAAAAATTATATCGTTCTTTCCTCTATATCTTGATGATGATAACTTAGCAAGAATACTTGTGCACTAAAAGTACCACCTTCTGCTCCTCATTCACTAGTCATGGTAGATGTACATTTCCTGAGGTCACACCATATATTTTTGAATTTGTGATATTTTTTAATGTGTGCCAATATCAACACAGGTGAATTGATGTACAGTTGCCCAGTTTTTAAGGTTAGTTGTTAATAAAATCTAAATGATGCTCAAAGTTTTGTAGTGGTTGTTTGGTTTGTAATGTGTTTAGTGATTTATTCATGTCTCATAACCTGTGTGTGTATACTTGGAAATACTGGACTGTAATCACATATCATAAGTGTTCACTCAGAATCATTATTTATTCCAATTTACACTGAATCATAGGTTTTATTATGTAAATAAATTCTGACCAGATGGATTTGAGAGCCCTCATTTCACACCTCAACATTTTGGTCAATTGTATTTCCTAATTTCAGGGTTTTTGTGATTCAATGTGTACATATGCTTGAGTTCAAGAGCTCAAGTTCCATACAAAAAATTGTATGCTAGAAGTTTTTTAAAATGAGGTATAAATGAAAATGTAACTGTTCTTGTTATCAAAGTTTATTTATTACTGCTGTAGTTATGCTGTACTAGATAATGAATAATGCTATACATAACTTGAACATATTCAGGAATATTTCATTTAAATGGTAGTGATATGAAAATTATTACATGAAAAACATTTGAATTACTGTAGGTACTTGTAAAACTTCATAACTGTAGACTTTTAAGGTGTTCACAATACAACTAGTTCTTTTGTTGAGGTGAAAGATAGCAAAATGTTACTTCAGTTTCAGCTGCTTAGCCATGAAAACTTCTGTATAGACAGAATCTTGTTTTCAGTCATGCAAATTGGGATGTACTGTACTTGCATGGCAGTGGTTTTCCCCGATACATTGTACTATTGTTGTCTTGAGGACTTGTTCATGCTAACAAGGCAGGCTACGCAGGAGGAGAAGAAAATTATGTTGAGCATGAGGAAAGCAGCGAAATAGACTATTAATTCCCTCTTGCTCATCTTCTTCAGGTTAGGCACTTCCCAGTTCCACCACTTGGCACCACCCATGACATCAAACCCTGTTGATATTGTAAAGAAAAAACAGGGTTATTTAAAGGAGGGCATTAAAGAAGGAAACAGTACATAAAAACTGTACGTAAAATACTAAACCAAAGTTTTTACTTTAAACTTTGTAATTAGTTTTTAAACCCATAATTTATACAGTATGTTACCTTAAGAAGTGTAATTTAGTGCAAACCTCATTGTCTGAATTAATTGGTACCTTTTGTTGGCTGGAAAACTGAAATTTCAGGTAATTGAAGAAAATCATACAAAATTATTCAGCACATTTCTTTTTTAACATGTACTAAAAATACTTGTAATGATGATTTAATTGGAATACAAAGGATGGGCACAATGCAATTTCTTGTATTTGATACAAATGAGAGTTCACTACGCCAACTCGTGCAAACACTTCATGGATAAGGAGGCTGATGCAGATTGGATTTAATAAATGAGGGCAGAGTACCGGTTATTTACCTCTCCAGTTAACACAAGAATCTGTAAAACCAGATGTTGATAATAGGGGGGTCCTACTGTAGCAGATGTAAAACCATTCTAGAAAACCTACACTTTCCAGAATTTGCTAAAGTACAGTATATATCTCAGACTCTTATCAATGAGGTTATTAGCATACTTTACTTTTATACAAATTCTTTGAGCAGAGAATAAATTTTTGTGAACATTCATATGTACACAACAAAAAAATACTGGCATTCTCTAAAAGGATTGCCACGACAAATAACTGACCTGACGACTGTGTGATGTTGCTAGCAGGTGGCAGCATCAAGGGTGGGATGAGAATGGAACAGGGACAGTGAGCCCCACACCTGAGATCTGGCACTACCAGTCTTCCCAGCACTGCCGAAGACTCGTCTGCTTGGCCCACCTGTGGGATGGTCAGTGCAGACTCTCAATCTGAATCTATGGAATTTTCTTGTAATTACACTTTTTTTTTATTTGTTTTTACTTTGCAAATTTCCTACTCACTTTATGGCAAACTTAATACAAAAGGTACTAATGAATTTGTCATTCAATTACCCGTTTGAATTTCTAGATTATGTGTGTTTGATATATTTCTTACTTCAAAAAGGCACAATTAAGATGTACTCGTGTAAGGCTGAGTACTAACCTTTGTGAGGGTACCATTCGCCATTAGTATGACAGTGTAGCATGGCTCATCCTCAATACCAGGTTCGAGGTTGACATGAGGCAAGCTGGGGAAGGCTGCTAGTGCTGTTGTATGCAGAGACTTTGAAGCCAATAAGTCATTCCAGTCAGAAGTTGCTAGAGCTCTAATACCTTGACACAAACCAGTCTCACCACTGCAATGTGTTACTTGCACCTCCCTTAGTGCCTCAGCATATGCTAATACTCCAGCAATAGCAGAGATAGCAGCAGTGTCATAGGCAAAGCTTGCTTCTTCACAGGATTTACACTCAGAGAGGGTGGCCAGATACTGCCGAAGTGGTTCATCATTTACTTCCAAGTTACGCTTGAAGAAAGAATCGAGTTCTGGGATGCGGGGTACAGTGCGCTGCAGAATAATTGCAGGTGTTTCCATGCCAGCCAGCTCAACCTGAGGAAAAGGCCCTCCACTATCTACTAACAAGAGTAAATCGATGGGGCTTTGGTCACCTCCAAGTGCACGAGCCAGGCTCTGGACCCTATGCCTGCTGCCCAAGATAACCAATGTGCCAGGTCCCCCACGAAGCACCTCTGCCAGTCCCACAGCATCCCCATCTTCCAGCACCATCTCCACACAAATATAAGCATACTCAGATGCTACGATTAAATGATCGAGCAGAGCTTGACCTTCCGTGTCTGTTGTGTGGACGATGCTGATGGCATCCACACCTGCCCCACTCAGCACATGGACTGCCGCCTGCATGATTACAAAATTAAGTAAGTTAAAAAACTTAAAACTTTATTTCTCCATAATGACTTAATTTTAGGTATAGATACCTGAGCAGAGCGATGTGGTGCAGAAGTAATGAAGTTGAATGTATGAGTGGCAGATGCTGTGCGGGGACTGTAGGACATGACAGGTGCACCCAGAGACTGGGTTATGGTGCCTATTGCTGATGCCGATGCTTCATCTTCTGGGCCTGTAAGTTGTACCAATAATATGATAAATTATTTAACTCCACTAAAATAATTAGAAGTAGGCAAATAGTGCTTTCATTATAATAAATTTGGTGGAAATAAGTAATGCCTCTCATTGGTTGAGGTTGTCTTTGTATATCTCTTGGACATTTAATGTTTGGTGTGGTGTTGTTGAGTCTCCTGGACCATTGTGCTCCATGCACAAACTGATCTTGTTTTTTTAAGTAAAAAAAAAAAAAAGAATAACCGACTACAGTAGTACAAAATTGAGCATGACTGTGTAATACAAAACTATACTTATACAAAATTGCTGTATCCACCAAGGGATCACATCCCCTTGTAGTTTTTTGAGGTCCAAACTAACATAGCTAAACTTACCCTGGCAACTTTATAATGTATCCAAAAAATAGTACATGATTACTTTGACGTATCCACTCCAAGTACAGTATAGTTTAGAAGAGTTAAATCAAAGGACAAAACTGTGTGTACAGTAAAAGTTCTTTATTCTATTTGCAGTATGTTGTAAGGACAGTCAGGATAAGGCATCTCTTTCACAAATGTTGTGTATGTACATGCTCACCTAGTTACGTTTGGGGTGACTGTTTTACCTTTTAATTATTGGTCATTTGTGCAATGACTTCTAACACTATGCAGGTAGTTAACCATTACTTATCACAAGACTCATCTATTTCTGAATCACAAAACTTGCTTCTGTATCATAAAACTTGTTTCTGCATCACAACATTCATGCCTGTATTTACGTCACTCACCTAGGAACCCGAGGGTGAGCACAGGCTGGGGACAATTATAGGCATCAGTGGTCCAGGCAGCCAGAGCTAACCGGGCAGAGAGGCTTGGATCACCACAGGTATCCACTATTCTCACACCTGCCAGACACACATGGCTTATACTTTTATCACCAGTTACAGAACTAATGAATTTTACATGTACTCCAGTGACTCAGATGGTTATGAATTTAGGTGTTTATAAAATTCTGATTACATTATACTGTATATTTACATTGCATGCTGAAAATAGGTAACCACACTTTTGATGAAGGTGCAAGCAGAGAAGTGTTAAGTGATTAAACTAATTTGTAAGGATTCTCAGTCAGCATGAAAAATTTTGTATCTAATAATGATTTTTGTAGATATCTTTTTCCTCTTCCCTTACCATCATCCTAAGAATCAGCAAATGCATTTTATTTATGGTGAAAGAGATAGGCAAAGTTAGAAACAGAGAGTATTACATTATATTTATCTCTTCCTTGATGACAGATAATAGATTACAAATAATTATATAGATTACAGATAATTATATTCTCACCTAACTTGACACCAGCAACAAGATTCAGTTGGTTGACTCGGTGGACAGCTAGCTTAGTCGCCTCCAACACTTGCACCTCTGTAAGCCCTAGCTGTGGGAATACATTGAAAAATTTGAATTAATGTATTCTATTCTATTCTTCACTTATACAGTATCCACTCAGTTTAACTCCCTAAATCAGGAGGTTACTAAATCTGAAATTGTTATATGTCAGTGATTTTCAAGTAATTCTTGGGTCAGAATACTTTCTTAAAAAGGACAAATTACATTAGAGGTTCAGCACAGAATGACAAATATCTCAGGACTAGGCAAAGGCATATACCAGAAAAAATTAAGGGTCTCAAGACTAACACAACTTCACACGAGTGAGCTGATCATTGAGACTTAAAATACTGAATTTTTAGAAAACATTAATCTAGACCATTTTCTTTAAAAGTGCCATTTAACTCACAAGGGGCAATGACTGCAATTACAAGAAGTCACAGTTAGGGGATACAATGGGAGATTCTGGCTTGGCACCTTCTTTTGATAATTACAGTACTGTACTTACAATGAGAGATCCTTCAATCTCAACATCATGCACTGGACACATAACAGGAGATAATTTTCACCCAAAGGATAATACTATATACAATTTTAATAAGTTTTGAATAATGGGAGACCTTTAACAATCCACCAGCTTCCTGTCCCCTCCAAAGCTTCTTTATAGAGATAATGGCTCTTAAGGTAAATTCTGGTAATAAACATAAATTAAGGGGATGTAAAAAACACTATAATTATTGAATCTTTTGTGTCGAACTTTCAAAATCTTAATGAAGTCCAAGTCCCTATATATTATTGTAATCTTTAACTGTGTTTTTTCTTGAAATTTATTTAAAACAAATGAGAGTATAATTGTCCCTTTGAAAAGCTTCAAGTAATTTTCCAACAATGTTAAACTAAAATCACAATTTAATAAATATTTCGTTGGGAAATTTTAAGGCATGTTTCGCTTTAATTTCTTTTTAACTTTGATGAATTGTGGACAAATTAACAAGTATTTTACTGAACACCGAAATAAAATATTTATTTAGAATATCACCCAATTTCTTCATCTGCGAAATAATGTTTGTTCATTTTGTTATTGTACCTGGTCACAGTGTGGTCCATGGTGGAGGGGCAAAAGCTGAGTGATGACAGCATCACCTGTCCTCAAGAAGACAGTCCGGCCTTCCTCAGCAATGCACTCACTTGCTGTCCATCGCCCGCCCACGACCACAAGCACCCACACCCATACCCACTTCAGTATCTGCCGACCCATTTCTACTGCAATATAGTAATGGAGCTTTATATTATAGGCTTATAAAAAATGATAAAACGAGAGAATTAGGGCAGTAAGGTGGTGACAAGTCTTTTTTTTTTTTTTTAAGGGGCTTAGGTACACAAGGTACACAGCAATGTGCTGCTACCCTATTCAATATGAAGGATTGTGGGGTATAGATCAAAAGCTAGCCATGAGTTCATCTAATATCCCCATGATGAATGATGGCGAGTCATACATGGAATTTGGAGAGAACATAAGATGCGAGTCACGTTTATTATCATGTACAGTATTAGCAAATTATGGGTTGAGCACAAAGTTATCTTCCAATATTCACGAGTGTATAAGGCAGTTACAGTGCTCAAAGTGGCATCCCATTTAGTTTGAAGTCATTGATAATAGGAGCACTCAAAAATACAGTGTTGGAGTGTGTCCTAGCTTTTGTTCACATAGTTGAGAGTTAGAATGCTCACCATTGGTGGATTCATTACCCACAGCTACTTGCTACACGTATCAATATTTTGAGTCTAATTATTGTAATTACAATGCCACACTGTCTAGTAGATGTTTTGTGTTGTCATGTTTAGAACCGAGAACTATATATACAAACTTATTATACTCTTGCTTTCTGCCCATTATGAGTGTCAGTAATTTCTCATTTTTGGCTGTAAGAAGAAATAGTGTGGATTTTACAACAGGCATTAGAATGCTTAGGGCTACAGTCGGGTTCATTATCAACTCTCAATCATGAATTCCAGGTTCAAATCCCAAGTGGGACAGAAATGGTTGGGTGCATTTCCATCAGCTAATGGCCTTGTTTATCTAGCAGCAAATATTTAACCCAGGAGTTAGTCAACTTATTGTTGGGTTACATCCTGGGAAGAATCAGTAGTTCAACCTTGGTGGGAAACCTCGAAATAAGCCTAACATGTATATATATATATACACACTGGCTGCCTGTTCCCCAAGACAATAAATTATTATTATTATTAATTATGACCGTGTAAGTATCATCATGCTGGATAACACCTATGTGAGATGGTATTTATACAGATGTCACTAAGATTTATGGTTAAATAGGAAGTGTAAATGATATTACAGAAAGATCTACATGAACTCGACAAAGGGTCGGAAAACTGCCAAATGCTTTGTAATATAAAAAAATAAAAGACATTGCATGTAAGGCATAACAACACACATCAGTACTACCAAGTCAACAACATTGTACAGTACTTGCAATATTGTTGAAGAAATGGACCTTGGAGGCAGAGTCCACTGATCACTGGAAGTTGTACAATTAGGTGCTACAGTTAAAAGGAACAACAAAACAAAACAAAGTTAAGGAATAATCAAGTGAAACTTTGACTTCAAGGAAGAGGTAGTTACAATACAATACAATACAATACAATTTTATTTAGGTAAGGTACATACATACAATAAATATTTACAAGGATTGTTTGACTTATAGGTATAGCTAGTACATACAATGCCTAAAGCCACTATTACGCAAAGCGTTTCGGGCATATTTTTTATGCCCGGCATATTTTTTATCCAGTTATTCATCGGTGTGAATCACTGGAGCACTCCCACTTGTATTATTATATCCAAGCATGGAGACTTCATCTTCTGAAAGACATATATATTGTGTATACATTCATTATATTTACATAGACATATATGTTAATTATATCTGCTTTGGAGAAAGTTCAGTACCTGGCAACAAACCAGACATAACCAGGTGGATCTCACTGAAACTTTTAAAATACTGAACAGTTTGGAGAATACTGATCCAGACCACTTCCTTAAAAGAAACAGAAAAGAGATGCTTTTTCACCCATAGGGTTATAAACCAATAGATCTGTCTGCCCTATTCGTTAATGTCAAAACACCTATGAAATTCAACATCCAACTAAATAAAATCATCAGGACAAATAGAGGGACCATTAACAAACTGCTGGCTTCCTCTCCTCATTGAGGCCACTAGGAAGATAGTGAAACTCAGGTAATACAAATGAGATTCTGAAATTGTGTATTGTATACAATGGATGTTACAACATAAATACTATATAGTATCTATTTTGCATATTGATTTTCAGTGGCTTGAAGAACTGGCTTAAATAAATAAATAAATAAATGAATGTTTATTTAGGTAAGGTACATACATACAAGAATTTTTTTTACAAAGATTGGTGGACTTATAGATAGAGCTAGTACATACAATGCCTAAAGCCACTATTACGTAAAGCGTTTCGGGCATGAATACATAAAAAAATTGAAGTCACAGAAAATTGCATAATAGTACTTTTGGGGAAAATTATAGTAGTAAAATTCTCCTCTTACCTCTTTTTCTCCTCGTTTGTATTACCTGAGGAAGTTACTAACATCCTCATCTGTGTGTATCACATGAGTGAACCCTTGAGTCAGACACATGCACTGTATTACCATTATGCTGCCTGTCTTCTCGAATAATACCTCGCCTGATGTGAGACGTTTTCTTGTGGCAGATAGCAGAAGGTACTGAATCCTCAAATGGTGAGCATTCCAATTGTAAAGTATGCAAACAAGAGTTTGGACACACTCTCCTACACTATATTTATGAGTACCTTGTTATCAATGACTTAAGCCCAAATGGTATGATAGTTTGAGCATTTGGCTCTCAGGACCATCAAATACAGTACTGTACTTGTAAGTACAATCGCTGGTGTAGTGGTTATAGTACTCGATGGCCAATGAAACGACCCTAACTGATTATAGATTCGAATCCTTGAGATCTAATTTAATTCTCCTGGGCACTAGGAGACTCGAACTACCGACCCCATGAGTAGGAGACAGAAAATCTATCCACCTTGCTATGAGCAGTCTTAATAAGGAAAGATTTCAGAAGTAACTAACCTCTTCCTCAATATTATCATATACAAAAATACATTACAGTTGGGTGAAGCAATATTCCAGAGAATTTATAAAATATAAACAAATGAAATGCAATCAGAAGTTCGAGTAATTTCTCGTACAGAAAACTCACAGTTTAGTGATGAAATGCCATCAAATCCACCTGTATTCCGTGTCTGTGAGAGATAACACACAGCTCGTGTCTGTGTCTGTGCAGACCCTCAACTAGACAGTTGCAAAGAGGAGTGTCAAGGTTTGGTAATCCTGCTGAAGCCCTGCACAGGCGACCCGGTGATCATCTTAAGGTTGGCTCTGGCTGAAAGCTGTTTGCGAAACTGCCACTCCTAGTTTAAATCAAGCCCGTTGCACTATTCCCAGTGTACAATTCCGACCATATATCAATACCTATGTACGACCCTATGTATTCTCATAAACCCAATGCTCCTTCTTGTATATATATATATAAAATAAATTAGTTGATCGCCTCAACAAATTTTGTTTCAGGTGCATTTTCCCATATTCTTGTGAATACGCATATTCATCAATTTGACCAAACATATATATTTACTGGACCAATATTATATAATACACTTTACACAAGACACCACCTAGGCTCCCAGGGTAATCTGACTCATGACCATTATCTTGGAGCCAAATTCTGGCTCTCTGCACATATTTAGAGCGGGAAATTAAGAATTTTTATACCGAAAATATGCCAATTACTGAAACCGGCGATGGGTCACATTTTGCCCAATCCCCCCTGCAGTTTTAAAAATATCCCAAAAATCCCAAATCCGACTTGAGCCATATTTTGGAACCAAATTCTGCCTCTCGGCACATTATTTGCAATTTGAAATTACGACTCAGAATTCGGCTCAAAAATGACGCTCAGGAGTGAAATTTCCGACATCTCAGATATTTTGAAAACTGCAGGGGGGTTTGGGTAAAGTCTGACCCATCGCAGTTTTCAGTAATTGGCATATTTTCCGTATAAAAAGTCGTAATTTGAAAATGAAAATAGATGCAGAGTCAAAATTCGGTTCAAAAATTACGCTCAGGAATCAAATTTACGACATTTCTGATATTTTGAAAACTGCAAGGGGTAATTGGCATATTTTTCAGTAATTGGCATATTTTCAGTATAAAAAGTCGTAATTTAAAAATGAAAAAAGGTGCAGAGAGTCAGAATTCGGTTAAAAAATCACGATCAGGAATCAAATTTCCGACATTTCTGATATTTTGAAAACTGCAGGGGTTTTTGCAAAATATGACCTTCGCTGTTTTCAGTAATTGGCATATTTTGTTATGGAATACCGTATCGTGTTATTGCGTCGCATAGCACTGGTATTTAATAGCAAATTTTTCAATGTTACAGGGAGAATCAGCTTAACGACCATGGAGGTCGTTAACGGTCAGCACGGTGTAGCTCGTCCGATGGCGGGAATTCTGTTAGCCAATCAGAATCACCGGGCGAGGTAACGAGTGCTGGTCGGAGCATGAAGAGAAACAGACATCTACTCCCCTCCATCCAGTCAACATGCTGTCGTGGCGTTTGGATGTTTGACCAACGGACCCAACTGTTAGTGTGCTCCACCCTCACGAAGGAAGAGGACCTCGCGGCATGGTCGACGTTCTTGAAAGTTATGGAAAATACCGTTTTTGAGATTTAGAGGTCGGTGTGGAGGTAACGCGCTGATTTCCTGATAGTGGTACAAATTGCTGGAAAGTAGATAATCTATAAGTGGGAGGAACCAACGGACAAGTGACGTCAATTTCAAGGTCATATTATCTCTATATATAACTGTACTTATGTACAATGCCTTAACATATATACATGTATTATATTGTATATACCGTACTCTCTTATGTGTTTTGTGATATATCAGAATATATCCATGATGAAGTTTTTAGACAAACTTATTTCTTGTCCTTTGTCAGACCTCAGCACAAAGTGTCGCACCTGACAATATAGGTCATGCTCAGGCTGACACCTGAATAAATCAAAGTATTCACGTGGCTAACAAAGAATAACAAAAGCAATTACAGAACTAACCTAGTTTTAAATGTGTTGGGTTTTCGACAGTTCGATCCCAACAGATGTTTGGGATATTTTGAAAACTGCAGAGGGGTTTGGGCAAAATGTGACCACCGCCGCGTTCAGCAATTAACCTATTTTCGATATAAAAAGTCGGAATTTCAAACTGCGAATAGGTGCAGAGAGAGAGAATTTGGCTTCAAAATATGGCTCGGGTATCGAATTTGGGATGTTTGGGA